TATCGATTAAATAGAGCTGGGAAAGGCCATAGAGGAAAGGTTCTTCACACTCTATGGCTTGAGAGATTTGGGTGGGGATACAGCCAAACCATATCACCTAGGATTTTCAGAACAGTAAATGAGCATGGGCTGCATTAGCCACTAACAAGATAATCATTCTGTTCTCTGAAGCTTTGAAGGCAGGCATTAACTTTTTTCTCTATGAGAGTCCTAGATGACATCTTCTAATGTAAGGCTTTTTTTGGCCTACATTGAAAATCTGTTTTTTACTGCAGCCACCTTCATCAATGATGTTAGCCAGATCCTCTGGATAGCTTGCTTCAGCTTTTACATCAGCACTTGATGCTTCACTTTGCAGTTTTATGTTATGAAGATGGCTTTTTCCTTAAACCTTCTTTCCTTGAACCAACATTGGCTAGCTTCAAACTTTTCTTCTGTCAGGCTCTTCCACTTCTTCTTTCAGTTTCTTTTAATAAGACTTTGTGAAAAAAAAGCCATTAGGAGGCCCTTGTTTCTTGGGATTTTAGGCCTTTTTGGGCTTCAAGGATGTGGTGGGCTGTCTGACCCTTTTTATATTTAGGACACCTTAAAATACTTTTTTATTATCAAGGCAACCGGCTGTTTTTACTTTCTTATTTCATTTTGTGTGTTTTTCCACCAAAGAGTAAGGCACTTTTTTAATTTTGGTCCTTCCAAAGAACTTCTCCTTTGCAATTCAACTTAGGCTACTGCTATGCGGAAGCCCAGCTTTCAGGCCCTTATTCTTGGCTTCGGACATGTTTTCCTTACTCAGGTTTTAAATCCCATATCAAGCCTTTAATTTTAAAGAACAAGAACAGGGTTCCACCCTGTTAATCCTTAGCACTTTGGAGAACTTGAGGGCAGGTGGAATCATGGTCCAGGAAGCGAGGACATCCCTGGGGGTAACAAGGGTGAAACCCCTGTCTCTACTAAAAATACAAAAATAGGCGAGATGTGCGTGGCCCTATGCCTTATGTGTCCAGGGCTTACTTGGGAGGGTTTCAGGCAGGAGAAATCGTTGACCCGTGGAGGGCAGGGGTTGCAGTTGAGCCCAAAGATTCTGGGGCCAAATGGCACTCCAGCCTGAGACGGATCAAGAGTGGAGACTCCATCTCAAAAAAAAAAAAAGAAAAAAACAAGGAACGACATTTTGGCTCTCCTTTCACTGGAACACTTAAGTGGCCATTGAGGGTTTTACATGTGCCTACTTTATGGTATTGGTTGTGTGTCAGGGACTGGGAAGGCCATGAGGAGAGGGAGAGAGATGGGGACATGGCTGGTTAGGTTGAGCAGTCAGCACAACATAACATTTATTATTAGATTTGCTATTTATATGGCCGATTGGTTCATTGGTACCCCAAAACATACTGCAATGGCAACATCCAAAGTCAGCTGTGATTCCCAGATACCCATTATAGATATAATAAATGTTTGAAAGATCTTGAGCATTACCAGAATGTGACACAGAGACCACGAAGCGAGCACAGTGCTGGTTGGAAAAATGGCTCCACAGACTGCTTGATCACGGCTTGCCAAAAACCTTCATTTGGTAAAAAAAAAAATCGTATCTTGCAAAGGTGCATAAAGTGAATGCAATCAATGATGTATGCCTGTATCTTAAAATGTCTAGTTTTCAACAAACAAAAATTATGAGACCTGGCAACGAAACAGCAAAATGTGACCCACATTTAAACTGCCTTTGACAGAGCCCAAATGTTGGATTTAACAGACAAAGACTTCAAAGCAGCCATTATAAATATGTAATAAAAAAAACTGAAGGCAATACCATCGATTAAATAATTAAAGGAAGATATGAGATAGTGTTTCATTATGAAGCATAAAATATCAATAAGAGAGAATTACCCAAAATATACCAAGGTAAAATTCTGTAGTTGAAAATACCATAACCCAATAATAGAAAAAATTACACTAGCGGAATACAGCAGTAAGTTTGAGCCGGCAAAACAAAATTGTGCAAACTGGAAGAATTAAATCAATAGAAATTATGCATCTGAAGAACAGACTGAGGAAAAAAATGAAGAAAAAACAAATAGGCATCTTCGGAGAGTGTATTGAGTATCAGCCCTGTAAAGTTCATTAGTATACACGTGATGGGAGTTTCATAAAGACATCAGAGAGACAAAGGATCAGAAAAAATATTCCAAACAATAAGGTCTGAAAATTCCCCAAATTTGATGAAAAGAGCATTAATTTACATATTCAGGCAGCTCAAGCAGGATAAAAGAAAAGAGATCAATATCCAAATATATCTAGTTAAAATGTTAAAAGACAAAGGCAAAAAAAATATTGAAAGCAGCAAGAGTATGTGTAAGGGAAGCAAAATAAGATTAATAGCTGATTTCTCATCAGAAATAATGGAGGCCATGGTTGGGCACAGTGCCTCATGCCTGTAATCCCAGCACTTTGGAAGGCTGAGGAGGGCCGATCGCTTGAGGTCAGGAGTTCAAGACCAGCATGACCAACCTGGTAAAACTCCATCTCTACTAAAAATACAAAAATTACCTGAGCATGGTGTCACATGCCTGTAGTCCCAGCTACTCGGGAGGCTGAGGCATGAGAATCACTTGAACCCGGGAGGCAGATGTTGCAGTGAGCCGAGATCGTGCCACTGCACTCCAGCTTGGTTGATAGAGTGAGACTCTGTCTTGGAAGAAAAAGAAATAATGGATTCCAGAGGTAGTAGGATGGCATATTTAAAATATTGAAAGAAAGAAAGAAACACTATCAACCAAGAATCATATATCTAGAAAAAGCATCTTACAAAAATTAAGGTAAGCAAAAACCAAAAGAATGTATTGCTAGCAGACCTGATTTATAAGAAATATCAAAGGAAGTTATTCAGGTTGAAAACAACACCAAGCAGTAATTTGTATTCACAGAAAAATACCAAAGAGCACCAATAAAGATATTTCTTCTCCTAAGTGATTTAAAGCAATTGTATAAAACACTATGTATAATTGTATTGTTGGGTCTATTATGTATAGAAATGTAATATACTTGTCAAAAATAGCATTAAGGAAGTAGGTGGGAGCAAAGCTGTATCACTGTAAGGACTTACTGAATGACCCAATCATTAGAACCTTGTTAAAAAATGTAGAGACTAGAGCGGCCTTGTTTTATTCTTGATTTTATGGGGAATATGAAAATACTTAAAAGGAAAAACAAACAAACATGACTGTGGAGTCAGAAAGTTTGGATTGAGTCCTTTCTTCGAGCAACTTTTAGCAGTTTGAATTTAGACTGCTAGCTTCTTTGAGTCTATTTCTGAATTTATCAAATGCAGTTAGTGGTATACTATCTGATCTAACTGCTTTGTCCTATGTGTCCTTCAGAAGTATTCTCGAATGTGGTGATGTATTGACAAAGCTAGTGGATTCACCAGTATGGGGAATGCACCTATTTTTATTCTACACTTCAGCCTGCCAGTTCAAATCCTTCCCAGTTCAGCTCCAAAGCAGCCCCTCTCCCACCACTCAAAGGCCATCCAATTCCCATTCTCACAGTTCCTCAAGGCAGAAAGGATCCTTCAACTCCATGGCCCTTCATCAGTATATATATATTTATTGGAGATGGGGTCTCACTATGTTGCCCCGGCTGGTCTAGAACTCCTGGGCTCCAGTGATTCTCCTGCCTCGGCTTCCCAAAGTGCTGGATTATAGGCTTGAACCACCACGCCAGCCCATCAGCACATCTTTAATTGCACTTTTCACAGTCTTCCTGAAGTAATTAGTTTTCATGAATTATCTTTTTTTTTTTTTAGACTGGGTTTGCTGAAGGGAGCGAAGTCTTCCATTTCAGTCATGTCTTACTAGACCCTAAATACAGGTAAATTACTGAATGCATTCAATCAGCATCAAGCCTCCGGTAGTCCTACGGTAACTAGTATCCCTCCCCTCCCCATAAAATAATATTTTGTTTTAATAATGCTGGCTACAGCAGAGTCTGGTTTTCTTAAGAGTTCATGCAAATCACAGGCTCGTCCTTTCACTTTGAGACCCAGGGAGGGAGGGAGGGAGAATGCTGTCAAGTCTGCAAAAATATGGACAACCTCAGAAACCTGTCAACAGAAATATACTAACAGGGCCTTACTTTTAAGGCCTTGAAATTTTTAATTCTCCCTTCTTCTTTCTATGCGATTTTGGTTTCCAAAAGTCTACATTGAACAGGTATTGTTTTATTAGGGCGAAATTGCTGCTGCTGCTGATGATGATGATGATTACAAACAATAGGCTGCAAGCAAGCTGTGTTTGCATTTAAAAGCTCTTGTTTGCTGCCTCGACAAGCAAGGGGTACTGGATAGCACTTTTCGGTTAGATTCTAATAAAAAGAAAGAAAGTTTTAAATTTCTCTCTCCAAGCACTTTGTCAGCCAGGGTTTTCCCTCTCGCCTGCCCTGTAGTTAAGGAAATCTAAGAGGTGGAAGGTGGGGCGGGCTGGAGGGCCACAGACAGCCGCTGACCCAGACGCCCCCTCTCCCGCCCCGGGGCGAGGCTGCGCGCTGTCACTTATTGGTCAGTAGGATCCCGGACCTTGACCAATCGCCTCGGGTCGGGTCGTCATGGCGACGGGCCACGCTAACACCTGGTGGCTGAGGGAGGCCCACTTGCTGAACTGCAAGGCGCGATGGCGCAGAACTTGTATGGTCCGGGAGTCCGGATAGGCAACTGGAACGAGGACGTCTACCTGGAGGAGGTACGCAGGGTGTGGCCGGGCGCGGACCCGCAGCTCAGGAACTCCCAGACCCTCCTCTAAGTTCAGTCCCCTGCTTTGAGCGCCTCAAGCCTCCTCTCTCACCCAGCATACAGTGAATACCTCTAAAATCCCCGCCCCTCCGCCCCTCCCCCTCACCCAATCTCTAAACTCCCTAGGAATCTCACCTGCCCAACAAATCCAGGTCTCACTGACCTCTACTCCGAGCACCCTGACTTTTCTTTCTGCGGGTCCCTTGGCCTCCCAAAGTCGGGCACCTTGACTCTTAAGGCCCTGGCCTGTGTCTCCCGCTTAGCCTAGAGTCCCACTAAGTCCCCCGTATTCCTTACAGTCTGACAGCCTCAGGCTGTGGGCCAGGTGAGAACACAGGCTCTAGGCAGAAATAATATCCCTCCCCACTCCAACCCTGCCACACTTGCCCTCTTAAATGACCCTGAGTGTTCCTTTTACTGACATTGTACTCTCTGCCTTATATTCCCCCAAGGTGGTCTTAACAAGGCTCTGAGCCATTCGTGTATGGGTCAGGTTGGGGAAGGGTGGACTTTCTAGTGTCAGTCATCATACAGTCGAGGGAAACCTCAGCAGGGGAGACATGGCCTCCAAATGTCACTCAAGATGGTATCTGGCTGGAGTAATTACTGGTGATTGTTTCTTTTTCTTTGTTTTGCCTTTCTCATTTTTCTTTATTTTGCCTTTCTCTCATAATGTAGTAAAAATATTAAAGTAATGCTAAAAATGTTCCATCATTCCCATTATGCTCACATTCCTTTTTTTTGTCCTCAAATTTTGAGTTTTCAACTTGGAAGAGCTTCTGACCTAAAAGTTGTTAATACTAACATCTGTATTATTCAGGGCTACTGTTGTTGATTTTCTCTTTAACTAGGAGCTTATGAAAGACTTCTTAGAGAAGAGAGACAAGGGGAAACTTCTCATACAGAGACGTAGAAGACTAAAACAGAATCTTTTGAGACCGGTAACTTTAAATTCAAACATTGTTTTCAAATTCTGTGTGAGTATATGTAAAGAAAAAAATTTCATAACCGAGTTACCATTTGGAAAATAACAGTTTTTAAAAACAAATTTTGCAATGTTTAAATTCTTCTAAGATCTTAGAAACATAAAGGAAGTCTGCCCTAAATCATGTTTACCTGCATTTTACAAATAAAGAAATAAATGAGTTAATATATAAATAAGTAAAATGCCCTTTAGTTGGTAATCGACAACTTTTTCAATGAATGTTGAATTTCTAGAATAATGAGGAAATCCATGTGATTTTCACCAGCTTCATTTGGCTTCATTTGGGATTACTGGGAGCTTTGCCTTGGCAAAGGCAAACGGAAAGGAAGAAGGAACTAAGGTTCAAGTGAAATCCTGAATGAAATGGGTACTAGTCTGAGAAGGAAGAAAATTGCCTTGGCCGTGAATGTTGAGGAATTGCATGGTTTATGTAATAAACTACTATTAAAATTGTAGATGCAACTTTCCATGACTGAAGATGGTTATATTCATTATGGTGACAAGGTGATGCTTGTGAATCCTGATGATCCTGACACGGAAGCTGATGTGTTTCTGGGTGGGGACCTGAGCCTGTGTATGACTCCAGATGAAATTCAGTCCCATCTGAGAGATGAATTAGAGGTACCCTGTGGCCTGAGCGCAGTTCAAGCTAAGACCCCAATTGGCAGAAACACTTTTATCATTTTGAGGTAAAGAGAGTTTAATTTGCAGTTCATTTTCATCATAAATATGTTTCACTTGCAGCTTAAAGATTCCTGGGTATTGGAGCCGCTGAGTGGAGGGAAAGGTTTTGTGAACATTTTCCGTGATTTTCATCTCGCTTTGCTTACCTTGAGAGTTATCGTCAAGGGAACTTTACAATCCCTTTTTATCTTAGACAGCAGGATAATTATGTTCAATTCAAAATGCTTAAATCATGAGTATTGGATCCAGGGAATTAAATTCATATTCTGCCTGGAAGCAAAGTGGCTTTTCCCTATAACGTTTTGGAACTCTTTGAGCTCATTTGAGTGTTTTCATTGTTCTTAATATGGCTATGTTATTTTTTACAATAAAAATGTATAGTTTAATACAAGGCAGCACTAGATGGGATTTGCTCTTTTAAAGTTAACTGTCCATTAAAAATGTACTTGAAGAGATTTTGAAAATGAACAATTAAATCCTTAGGGAAGAAATAGATATATGATCACAATGAAAAACTATTACTAATTCATATAACAGCAATGTAAGCATTGCAAGAATATATAGACCCGGACCAGGTGCAGTGGCTCTTGCCTATAATCCCAACACTTTGGGAAGTCAAGGTGGGCAGATCACCTGAGGTCAAGAGTTCGAGACCAGACTGGCCAACATGTCAAAACCCCATCTCTACGAAAAATACAAAAATGAGCTGGGCATGGTGGCAGGCTCCTGTAATTCCAGCTACTTGTGTCAGTGAAGCATGAGAATCACTTGAACCTGGGAGGTGGAGGTTGCAGTGAGCCAAGATTGCACCACCAAACACCAGCCTGGGGGAAAAAAAGAATATATAGACAGTTCTTCAAGTTCTAATTTAGATTTCTTTTGAATACATATGTTAAGACAACTAAAAATGGATCACAACCTCTGTTTCCTGAAGGATTAAGAGGAAACTGTATTAAATGTCTACAAGTGTGTTACCTTGGTTCTCTCTGAAGATGTCAAAGCACTTGACCAGAATTCCTTAGTATACATTAGCAAGACGTACTTAGTTTACTCTAACCAGAGGCTCATAAAGTGGGGATGCTTTGTGTTCTAGCTATGGTGCAGGGTAGGGAGTAGGGTGCTAGCTGGATTTTGAGACCAAAAGAAAACACCTTTTATTTAATGATTTAATTCAGTTACAGTATGTGAATATAAATTATCGAAAAAACTGATTATAAACAAAATTGCATGCATAAACATAGAGTCATAGAATGATTCTAATACAGAGAGTTTACATTTACATTATACTTATTGTCCGTGGACAGCGTACACAGAGATGCCACTGGTCAAGTCCTTAGATATGGGCAGGACTTTTGCCTGGGGATAACAGGAGGATTTGACAACAAAATGGTGAGTTATCACTTTGCATATCTACTTTGGATCAGTCCTTTCTGTTGCACCAAAATGGAATCATAACTATCTACTCAAGTGGACAGAGAACTCTAGAGACATGGGCTCCATCCCTGACTTCACTATGGTTTCAGCTTGCAGCTTTTCATAGGCAGTTTCGGGCCAAGCCAGTCTTTCCTTTTAACTTCCCAAATTACAAAAACTATACCCTTAAAAGCTAACATGTAAGGGGGGAAAACCATTTCACAATACAGCTGGCAAAAAGCAAAAGTTTATATCACTTCCACCTGTAAATTAAATGATTGAATTCATTAATAGCCATCTGAAACCTGTCAAATGTTGCCAATGCTAGCAAGGCATATTATCTGCCAACTTTTTTATTTAAACTTTTGATGATCAGACTTTTGCCTAGTATGGGAGTAAGGACAATTTGAGTTGCTTAAATTTGCATAAATCAGGGAGCCTTGAGGATTAGGAAGTATAATAGAACCAGATAGATTTGGGTTTGAACTTCAGATGCGTACCTATGGGATGGGAATTGGGGTAAGTTATTTAATGCCTTTTGAGCCTGTTTCTCATCTATAAGATGGTGAGTATTAGTCTACCTTACTACATGCCAGGCAGTGTTGTAAATGCTTCACATATTTTAACTCTCCTAATCCTCCAAACATGCCTTTGAGGTAGGGACTATTTTACCTTTAATTTATTGGTGGAAACACTGAGGCACTAAGAGGTTAAGTGATTTCTGACTCAAGTCACTCAGTTAGCAAGTAGCAGAGCTAGTACTATATCACATTTTTTATTGAATTAAAAATTCATTTACTATATAATGTAGCATTTTTAATATTATTATTTTTGATACCACTAAGAAAACACAATGCTGCCTGCTGGGTGCAGTGGCTCATGCCTGTAATCTCAGCACTTTGGGAGACCAAGGCAAGAGGATCACTCGAGGCCAGGAATTGTAGACCAGCCTTGGCAACATAGTGAGACCTCATCTCAACAAAAAGTTTTAAAAACATTGGCCAGGTATGGTGGTGAGCTCCTGTAGTCCCAGACACTCATGAGGCTGAGGTGGGGGGATTGCTTAAGCCAGAAGGTAGAAACTGTAGAGTTTGCACCACTGTACTCCAGCCTGGGTGACAAAAAGAGACCCTGTGTCAAAACAAGAAGAAGAAGGGAGGAGGAGGAGGAGGAGGAGGAAGATGAGGAGGAAGAGGAGGAAGAAGAGGAGGAGGAAGAGGAAGAAAGAGGAAGAGGAAGAAAGAGGAAGAGAAAGAAAGAGGAAGAGGAAGAGGAAGAAGAAGAGGAGGAGGAGGAGGAGGAGGAGGAGGAAGAAGAAGAAGAAGAAGAAGAAGAAGAAGAAGAAGAAGAAGAAGACGAAGAAGAAGAAGAAAGAGACC